ATTAGTTCTGCACACAAATAAATTTTTTAGCATTGCTGTCGATTAAATGTGACTAGGGAGGAAGCGGCAGCACAGTCAAAGGTGCATGCCTCTGCCATCTATGGAAATCGGACACGAACCTTTGCTGACACCCAGTAGAAATGCTAAGTGACAGGTGGGGGAAGTTTCTCGAATGCAATGGTAACTGCTTCATCCGTCAATGATTTCGCCTCGATAGCTGTGTTACTGATATTGTGAAGAGGGGGGTCGATTATGCCAATAAATATTCAAGACTAATTTTAGCATGAGTTGGCGGCAGTATACCCAACACATGGCATTCTTCTTAACTAATCCAGTATCAAATTTAACTGCAGGTGACTCGCCGTGGCTCGCATCCTGTTAAAAACACAGTAACAAAAATTGGAGCTGCACAACGCAGTGGCCATCGCTTGACTGCAGCATTCCCTCCTCGCGAACTACCATCGTGGCCGTGAGCACGACGCCACAGTCTCGCCATGCTGTCCTCTTGTTATGAAAAGTACGTGAACAGGGGGGCAATACCATAGATTTACAAGGGAAGACGAGGCCGAAAACACCCAATCACAAAAGCAAATACGTTTAGTTCAGGACAAGTTATGAAAGACACCTCGACAGTGGCACAGAAATCAGTCTTCTTCACTGAACCAGAGATCTACCAAGTCCATTTCTGCTTCTCACACATTTCATGTCATAGGTTTATAAGGCCTTGGTCCGACTGCATCCCGAAATCGAATACTTAAAAACAAACCGCATAAAAGTATAGGGCCACATTATCGACATTGTCCTAAACGGTAAACACCAGGTGATAATGCGTAAAACAGTAAATTCAACGGGAAGAGAAAAATACTGAAATGATGACACACAGAGCTCTGCCTACAGAGTAAGCAATTTGCAAATGGAAGCTAGTGGGCGAACCAGATCAAGCATTTGCTACATTAGTGAAAAACTTTTCAATCGCGCGCGAGAATACCTGTCAGAGGCGTTGACGGATGCACGCGGGCCTGCTTAAGGACAGCCATCCCAACTTCAATAAAAATGTCACCACCATTCCACAAACTCACGCATCTGAATCCCATTATGTAAAGTAGGGAAAGTAATATATTTATATGCATAGACGCCTGGCTGGAGCCACCACAGCGATCGGAAGGGGGGAGGGGGTAACAATTGAACAAAACCCGACGTCTATCTGCATCGAAGAGAAGTGTTGTTAATGGTCCAGGTGCTGCCGTCTCGACAGTGTCACCACTGTATGATAAAAAGTACTCATAATTTTCGCTCTGTAGCGGATAAATGCAAAAAGGATAAAACGAAAGGGACTGGAGTGAAAAGAGAGCTGTGGATAAGATAAGAGGGAGGGAGTTGAGGTGAGGGCTTCAGGGCTTTCTTCTCTGTTTCTAGACCTCTCCAAAATAAATGATCCCAAAAATGGGCAGTGTGGGTGAAGGAGCGGAGATGAGGGAATGTGCCTGGCGTCTAAGAGGCCTCAAAGTGCTTGTAAATCGCGGCAATGTAGGACATGACCGAGTTCCAATCGGGCCGATCTTTCGTGAGCATGTCGTGTAACCGAAGAGTTGTTGGGATTCCCTGACGTTCAGCAGCCGAAAAGGCCACCTAGGTTGACGAATAGAAGGCAAATGCGAACAGGAAGTTAAGAAACAGAGCGTTAGAGTAGCAAGCAAAAGGCAACTGGAGTTTCTGCTGGCCATCATTGTCAGTACAACTTCGCCTATCATGGTACGTAAGAGTGAGATTTCTAGAAACACCCAGCTAGATTATTGGTATGCGCAGAGAACAAAATCTATGCAAGCACATTATGCCCTCACAATTGTTATTGCTATCACTTTCTTCAGGAGATATTTGTGCCTGCAGGGTAATCGATCATTGAGAGGTTATGAGACCAACTACAAAAAGCCTCACGCACCTCAAATCGCCGTTGTTTATCCATTCCATTCACCACACGTTCCCAAGGGGGAATTTTATCTGGCACATAGGTATGAAGAAGAGCACACAACGCCAAACCATCGTTCCAGGAGGACGAAAAGTTTGTGATCTCAACGACCCGGTAACCTGCAACTCGTCCTTGGCACCAACGTAGCAGGGCGTTCCGCTTTGAGCCTGTGTTGGTGCGCTTCGCCAGTTCGTGCAGCGGGTCGGTGAATGCGCTGGCGATGCTGCCGGAGGTGCTGACGGTGTCGGATGCAGATGGAGGGGCGTCGGTGCTGGCGACAGCGGCACCGGAGGAGGGTACTGCATCCACGGCCGCCGCCGAAAGAACACTGGACACGGCCTCCGATATGGCCGAGGTGGTGCTACTGCCGCCGCCGTTAGGGACGATCACACTCGCACTGGTGCTGACAGTTGCTGCGGCTGTCGTGGGCGCTGTAGGGTGTCGCTTCAAACGGGCTGTGGTGGAAGACGTGAGGGGAGAGGTCGGGGTGGGGATGGGGTTGAATTTGACGTGGAAAGACTCCTTTGAAGGCTGGCAGGAGACAGGCTGAGGGGTGGTTATGGGTGTGTCATCAAGGGCCGAATTGAAGATTGGCTTGATCCTGTCAAAAAAGAAACCCACCCTACACTTTGCCGTCAAGTGACTGAAAATGCACAACTGAATGCCGCATCATGTTAACTGAAAAAAGCAACAGTGCCTCGTTCCAATACAGAGACCGATCATCGTCATGTGTGGTTTTAATAGGGGAAAGTTAAAAATGCCCTGAGACTCAACGACGTTTAACTCTGGCCAAACTCTCAAACGTAAATCACGGGTGTACATTTAATGCGCCATTCTAATAGAGCGAAGTAGGCGTGAGGCCAACAGACCTACGGGCCTGTTTCCAGGCTTATTTCGTCCGCGCCTGATAGAAAAAAAACTGACACGGGCAAAAAGCACGACTGCTTGGTGCGCGGTGTGACTCATTCGCACGGGCTTCTTGCTGTTATCACGGGGAGAGGAGGAGGGACAAGCAGACCCGTGTCACCGCCCTGTCAACGCAGACTCGGTGGTGGCGCGCACGCAGCGACGATGGCCGAAACGGCCGCCAGGGTCTCTCAGACGAGATAAGAGGCGCGGCACGAAAACGAAAAGCCCCTCACCTTCTACTCTCGTCGTCTCTTTTCCCCAAAACTACGAGGGCACTCAGGCCCCGACTTGAACAAACCGAGATCGAGCTCTGAATGTCACCACACGAAACAACAACCATTGACACATTTTTTTCCAAAATGTCACAAGGGTTTCGGAAAATTTGCAAAACAGCAAAAAGTATTTGACGTAAATAAAGGGGCCACCTAAAGAAATGCCAGTTCGAAAATTCAAAAGGAATTGAGAGAAAAATATTATCGCCACTTTTGATGAAGTTTTGTGAGCAAGATGCTTTAATACCAGGGAAGGGCAATGAGTCGACGAAGTATGTGATTTCCCCAAATGAACTACACACAACTGACGAGTACCAGCAACTTAGCAAGTTTCAATTATTGCTATCACGCACAGCACGAGTCAAAAGTCGGGCAAACTTGTTGCATTCTCACAACACCTAGGGGAAAATGAAGTTGCTAGAATACAAATAGCCAAATAATAGGTTTTTTATGGTTTCGAGCAAATAACCGACGTTCCTCAAACATGCATACAAATGTCCTGTTACTGACAACCCATGTGCTTCGGTTGATTTAGCGCGAAAAGAAGGAAACTGGACGCACGAATAGGTGCAGAATCGGAACAGGCAAAATGAGGAGGCATCTTTCCGTCGAATCAACTACGAAACCACAGACAGTGAAATTATGAATTGAGTTGAAAAGAGGTCGTGGGGATCATTAGAGATCTGCTGATCAATGCTTGGCTAAACAGGGAAATCACATGAAAGCAGGGCAAGTCACACGCACACAGGAAAGTGGTGGCAGCCTGCAAATTCTGCTTTAGAGTCGGCTTAAGCAAGAGGTGAGAAACGACAGCGTAACTATACACTGACGATGAATTGTGGTGAACATTCCAACTAGAAGTCCATTCAGTTAAGGAGCAGACTCGTTTCTGGGAGTCCTGGTTAAATGTTCGACGTGGGTATCGAGGTACACTAATAATTCTGTGGTAGTATTTGCTGCCTTGTATTAGAATGACTTTTACACATTTGGAAGCGCATCTACCCAATTAAAATTGCGGAATCGAGTCAGCAGCATAACGAACTCGCTTGAAGATCACTTGACTTTTGATCGCAATGCACATCACATCGAGTGTGCGTTACGCCTTTTAACTCGTTCGCAGTTGAATGCACACTAGTAGTTGATGTCCCTTGTTATCATAACACATAAACCAGTTTGAGGTGCATTCGCTGTGTTTTGGCGCGTTCGACTTGGGTGTGTTTATCCAGACGAGGGAACCACAGGTTTTAGTAAACACGGCGTGAAGACATTCAGTGCTCGAGGGCCGCAGTAGGGTGTGACGTTGGAAATTTCACATGTCAACGAGTTCGAAACGGAACAATTTGTAAGACCATGCGTATAGACTAGATAGGTGAGTTGGGGTGGACGTCTCGGAACAAACGAGGCACAGCAGCGCTGGACCGCTCGCGAACGACCCCAAACAGATCGGAAGCGGACACAGCTACTTGTGTGAACAAGAACTGCATGTTACAACGAAATACAACGCGTCGGTACTAACTGTGCTTCGACTTGACTGAGTTCCCACACAACTTATTCCTTAACCAGGAGGTGAATCAAAGCGCACGCCTCGGTTACAATTACGCGAATTTGGATTGCATTCGCACCTGAAATTGAGTCACGAATCACGTTCCTGTCGGTTAAAGAAAAAAACTTGGACGTACACACTAAAACACGAACAACCCGTCATTCCGAAGTCGTCAGCTATTCTCAATAATCTATATGGATTTTCAAGTTTACGACAACAAAATGAGAGGTCCTAAGTAGCTTCTTCGAGTTTGCTCAAACTGTTGACAACGAAACATCCCAAGCTATCTGACAGGAAACAGAAAAACGAAGTATTCCGATCACTTGAGAATTGGTGCACAAGCACACCAGGGAGGTCAGCATTACCTCAGAGAAGTGACAGACGGAGATTGGGGACGAGGAGAAGACAGAGAGGCTTGTGGAAGTGGTGGTGGTCCCCCAGGCGCCGAATCACTGGTTGGTCCTTCATCTAAAAGATGTCGAGGGCCGGAAAGCACGGGGGTCGAACCGGGACTGTTGCCAGCGGAATGGAGACGTCTCGTTGGGACACTGTCTGAATTGCCCTTTGATGCCGCCGAGGAGTTTGGTGGAAGGGATGAAGTTGATGTGAGACTGGTGCTGCACTTGCGAGCCGACACCTTTTGCTGTTGCTGGACAGCTTTCACCTGTGCGTAGTACAGAATTATGGTCAAAACGTGCAGCATTGTCAAGGCAGTTAAAAACTCGAGGGACTGAGAGGGCACAATTAGATATTAAAACGGTAACTGATTCAGTACTGCTTGCGTTGGAGCACACGAGTAACGGGCCAATGCCAGGTGGTAGGTGATCGCGTGCATATGCATAACAAGCAAACACACAATCACAAGGCTGTTCAAATTCGATAACAAACAGATTGAGGCTATAAGGGGGCCCACAAGACTCCAGGACACCGGTGGTGTAGGGGTCTTTCGAAAAAGTATACAATCGCTAATAACTGGCGGACAGTGAGATCAGAAGAGTTAAAGAAGACTGCTTCTAAATGAGTAGAACTAGCTATATCCCCGATGCCACACGCTATTGCGGAGGACTGAGCCATTTCCTCAAGACCTGACGGCACCGACTACATCTTACATTTTGAGTGCTGAGGCCAAATTGAGGGCACCACATGAAACCAAAGCACTAAAAGTGGACCCCTAGTGACTTACGGGCTCGAAGGCCAATTTGTAACGAAAACAAAAGGGAACTGAGCTGGCATGTTACGTGGAGGGCACTGGAGTAGTTCATAACCCACCTGGTTCTCGATCGTCTGGATGAGACTTTGAACAGTCGGCCCAGAACGCCTGATACCACCGGGTCCACCAGGAGATGCTGTTGCCGTGGTCGGGTTAAGCCCCAACTTTTGCATGTAGGTGGCTCGATGGAGATGTTGGAAAGGTGCCGGAGATGAACCGCTGGTGATGGCAGCAGCGACGGCAGACGAAGGCGCGTAGCTGGTGTCCAAGCTTGAGGTCATTGTGGCCACGCTTTTCATTTCTGGTCGCGAAGGGCACAAAGGGGTTGCGGGACCAAAAGACGCAATAGAGGAGGGACTAACGTCGGAAGGCGATCCCTTGGATAGTTCGTCGCGGAGACGAGCGACCTCATGACTCGCGGTATCTAAGTCGGCTGAAAGACGTTTGACCTGCAAAGTACAAAAGCAAACAAATTTGATCATATTAAACAGAATGGGTGATATAAGAGCATAACAAGCAAACATCATTTAAGATGAGATGACAAATTCGTGAGCAGATAATAAAAAGGTCCATCAAATGGTGAAGGAGTTCGAGAAAATAACTGTGCTAATGTGACATTGCCGGTTGGGATCGACCAATGAAAGGGTTGTATGTATAAAAAAAGCATGTTTGTAGTATCTCAAGGCGCAAAAATTACTCGACTTCGGGTAAGGTGGTGGATTGTGGCTATTGAAAAGTAGTGATGCTGGAAGTTGAGAATCCCTCCACCCGGATTAGAAATCGTTAATGACTCAATAAATCCTTAAGTCAGTGTCATGTAAGAATAAGTTGAAAGGCTGGAAAGATGGAACAGACCGCGAGCGACAGTGTAGAAACGATGAACTCAACAAGGGGTTAGTTGAAAGAGGACAACTTGGATCCGTACATGAAAGTGAGTACTGAAGTGAAGTTGCGGAAAATTACAAGCTGCCTTATATTATCACGTTATTTTATATACCACTACCTCGACACAGGTGCTCAAACAGCATTTGAAAGTTAAACTCACTAACATTTACAAGACAGCCAAAGATCAGGACAGCACAGTGCTCCATAAGGCTCCCGAAAAAAACATTTGCATTGCCTTGCGGAATCCCAATCAGAGGCGTTCTCTTGCCAAACAAATTCCACCATGGCCTCTAACTTTCCCACAATCCTTCCGTAGACCCCTTTTTGCATTTTTGATAAGCAGAAAATTTATTCAACTGAAAACCTCAGGTAGCGAGTGAATGCCGAATTTTGAGTGGTTATATGTTAAACAAACGAATGCGTTCCCATAGGCATACAATAAAGAAGCAGCACTTGGGCAGTGAACACGCGCATACAAAGAGAAACACATGGCACAATTGAACGTAACAAGATTAGCTGCTAACCAACCAAGAGCCATCATGTGCCGCCTACGTAAACACAAATTAATGAGGCACACAGTAGTGAAGTGATTTAGAATTAAGTAGGGATTAAGGCGTGATGCGAAGCAGGACAACCAACGAGAGGAGCAGGTTGGACCCACAAACAAACACACTAGATTGATATTTCTTTGTGTTGCAAGACACTAGGAAGTGTCACTACAGGTGGTGAATCGCACGCAGCCAGTACCTTTCCAATCCAGCATTGACCTCATACTCGCAAGAGAGAAAACACACGCACACACACCTGGACAGGCAGGTGACCGGTCATTTGTGACTCCTTTTTGCATGTTTGTGTGGTGTCCTCACGAAGCTGCACGAGAGCGCGCGCAACCAGCCCACAGAGCATCGTCACTTAGGGCATCGCACATTTGACCTACAAGTGGAGTTTTATCGCGTCGCACACAGGTGAACGGTCTGGTGCGACTGGGCAACAGACGAAGCCAGGATGTGCATGAGCGCGTGAAACGACAATAGGAGGTAAGTGTATGTGTCTTTAGTGCGAGGCTCTGTTCGACAGGAAGTGATTCCGCAACACCCTTCGACCCTGGCGAAACCACACAAACTGGAGAAGCACCGAGTAGCCACTAGAAGTAATACGAATCGATGGGATAAAGGTAGCGATCAGTGTTCTCGAGCGAGTGCAGTGTGGAGTTGCCAAACGAATTCCACAACCGATTTAAATCAAGCTCGGGAAATGGTGATCTGCAGTAGAAGAAACGCACTTGTCTAATGCTGTTTGATACAAATCCTTGTTGAACGCAACAGGTTTCACATAAAGTGAAGGAATTTCCCCCACTAAACTCGGACTCCTTTGACGCATATACAAATTATCGAGGCAGCTTTCGAGCCAATAACATACATCAGCCGAAAGGAGTGTACCAATACACCTGTGTCCTGCAACGATAAATGCATCTTTTGAGTCATTACTAATATGAAGTTTACGCGCACTTTGTGATGCACATTGAAGACAAACGAAAGCGAACAGACCGGCAGCAACACGCCCGAGCATTATCAAAGCAGAAAGGTTGGGTGTATAACCAGAAATGCGCATTTACGTGTTTGTGTCGCTGTGTGAACGCCAGAACCGCGATCCAAATACGATTGTGACTGCTTGCTGCTGCAAAAGCTTTAGGTGGCGGTGAAACCTCAGCCAAGGGAATTGGCGAAATTGCATTAAGAGCCCGCGCCACGCGTTCCAGTCGGCCTTCGGTTAAAAAAAGCCATCTTAAAAAGTATGTTTTATGTTGCTCAAACGGTGGTGCTCGTACATGGAGGCACTGACAAAGCCAACACGCAAGGGGGTGTACTTAAACCGCATTAACATAAAGTGCACACGGTAATTGAAAAACCCGCCATTAAATAGTCGGTTCGGGCTAATCTGCATAAGCACAAACACAACCTGAGGCTTGGAGGAAATTCGGCAATTTTGGTAAATACAATCAACAGACGAAGGGCTTGAAATGGCAGTGTCACCGGTTCAGGGCATGCCAACGAAAGATGCAGGGTGTCAAGGTGGAGGGGAGGGAGGGGCGCAGAAGCGCACGAGGAAGAAACCCCATGAAGTGGTGACTCAGGCGTCGCACGAAGACACTCGGACTAGTAACCCAGTCCATGTGACGTCATTTGTTAGCATAATTAGTCACGGGAAGTGGCGTGGGTGGTACAAACACGATATTGCACAAAGCAATGGTTTTCTGGATGTCTAGAAAAACCTTCAACACATTTACCATCAAGTCTCAAATGGGCGGGTTATATCTTGAGTTGCGAGGCAAAACGTAAGTAAAACTTGGAAAGAACACAAAATTCATGCAAATTTTCTGTTCCGTGTGCTAATTTGGATGAAATATAGGGCATAATGTCAGGTTAATGCAAGAGTAATATCAGATTTTGTCAGATATCAAATTACCTAACTCGTGTCAATTTCGACCAAGGTCATGCTCACGAATATTTTTTATTCATGGCTTTCTTCAATTTAAAACTTGCATCAGCCTGAAATTTTAGATCCACCGTTTTTCTAGACCTGATAAAAATCTATGGATTAATTCTGGGTCACAACGACTTCCCAAACGGGAAGCCTTTCAGTGAATTGTTTATATTCCCCGATAATAGTACAATGCCTGGGATCGCGCAACGGAGGGCATTTCCACCAAAAGATGCGAGCAAAAGTAAGCTGGTCATCCAGCACTGACCAAAAAGTAGTTAGAGCAATCGTCTAAGCGAACCAACGTGATTAGCTAGAGCATTCAGAAACTAACTGATGTATTATTAATTCGGAAAGCGTGGTGAGAATGGGAAAAGAATTAGCATACAGGTGACGCAGGCAGGCGCATAAATTAGTGCCCGCAGCAAGCGGACAAAACACGCGCTTTCTGCGAATTTGCATAGCAGCCCAAACAGAGTGAGGTGGCTTAATCATGCCCCTGTAAGTTTGTCGGAACCGACGAAACGATTGAAGAGAAATGAAACCTGGGGTTAGATCACTTGGTGCCGATCTAGTGAATGCCAAATGTGTGCAGCTTAATTAATCATTTGATATACGAAATACGCATGTGTGTGTGTGTATTTGGAGCGGATGTTTCAAATTGGGTACACTGTCGACGGTGGGGTGTGGGTGGGGTCACGAGGGAATACTATCAGACCACCAAAATTATGTTCTAGTCCGTACGACTTGGAATGGTGGAAAGCGTGGAAGAAACGAAGACAAACAACAGGTACCGCGCTCACTTCAAATCAGGTCACAGGGCTACGATTTTTCGAGAGGAGGGAAGCTGTACACTCACAGACAAGTACGGACACAACATCAACACTGAAAAATTTGCCAAGTTATTTTGGCATAACCTTGTTTTACAGCCAGTAACTCATTTAGTGCAGGACCTTTTACTACAATCGCGCACCTGGTCTTGATCTCGATGAAATGGCCATTCCTGTAGCCTCAACGTCAAATCGCGGCTGATCTGGAAGGCCGTTTTTTATTACACGCAAAGTACTCTTGAGCAGTATCCAGAAGAGGATGATTCGTCTCATCACTAGGTATCTAGGGGGTTACTTTATCTGTACTTTTCGGCGCCTGGGTTGATGAAATGGCCGGTTCGCAATAATGTGCACTTCACTGCATGGGGATCAGCAAAAACGAATCAGAATTATGACAATTTCATAATGTAAAATCGCCTGCATCAGTTTAAATTTAGGACGTGGGCGTGAGTCAGGTAGGTAAACCCCACAAAACTGCAGCATAGCTGACACAAAAACAAAAATCCAGGTTTTCAAAAACGTTTACTTGGGGGAAACAAGGGCTTCTTGAAAACCAAGATTGCTGAAAGGCAAAAACACAACGAGCACCTGCATCTTGTGCAAGTGCACAACCGTTTAGATGCAAGACTCTGAAAGGCTGCTTTCTGGGAGAGAAAATTAGCATGGTCAGCTTTGCAAGTGCACTTTAACAGCGCAGGCCCTTTGAAGAGGCCTACCTAGAGGCGATTTACAGGCGTCAATTTTGATATCTGTAGTAGATCGCCTGTAGCTCAATAGCTTGAGCAATGGGCTACATAATGCAATTACCCTCAACGCGTTAAAAAAACCCTTAACTCATAAAATCTCGCGGTTCACCTGTCAGAATGCACACAAACAAGGTGCCTCTGATTTAGCAGAAGGCTAGTGCAAAACAGGACAAATCAGTAGAAATGTAGTTTGGGTACATTGGGGCACAAAAATAACGTTTTTTTAAGGAAATGCAATTTTTTAATAGTGCCCTGGAAAGCTAAGATTTGGCGGCAGTGGTGACGTGGCAAGACGGCAATCTTTGGAAACTCGAGTCTCGTAGCTCACCGAGAACACCAGGCAGGTAGAAGCGGCAAAAGCAAACAAAACCACAGACGAATGCATGCTTATGCTGACGCAAAATCGGTGTAACTCGATGCCAGATTAGCGAACAGTTCACTTCAGAGATTCATGACACAGAACAAACACCAAATGTGCGACCGTCCAATACGAGAGAAGAAATACATCAAAAATAAGGCTCAACGTTGCACATTCGGGTAGTGTTGACTTGGAGATCGATTATCAGCGGATGAATAGCCGTGAACTCTGTCTTCGCCTGAAACACGGGACTCGCCTGGTGGGTCCTAAACGAACTAATCCACAAACCGAGGGCGTCGCAGCGCAAACGGATTGCTTTGACAACGGGATGGATCGTTGGGAATTTTTGGAAAACAAACCGCGGTGGCATGGCATGAACGTGAGCCAGCATCATCCCAAGCAGGTAAAATTGCTTAACACAACGTGTTAGGTTGGTCCCGATAACAAGTGGTTTTATAAAAGCCAGATACACAAGGAATCATTAAAGCCATTGGAGATTCCGTTTTGACCGGGATAATCAGGTAATTTCAGAGAATCAGCCGATTTTAAACTAGCGAACCAGCAAGGCACACAAAGTGAGCAAATTCTGTTACGGAGTTACGATTTCTTCAGTAGACTATGCCGGAAGCAGAAAAAAGATCAACAACTCCCTGTCTTTAAATGCACTCAATACTTATTGAATAGCGGGTGAAAGAACTAACATAAGAACCACCGTTAATTCCATGAGGTCGAATGAAAGTGTGAACCAATGCTCGGTGGTCTTTACGAGAAAGTCCTTACTACTGTGCTGCGCAATAAATTAGCTAAGCCAGAAACAGTTAAGTCCAAGCCAACTACACGGAAACATCTTTACGCGCACTAGGATGAGGTTACAGGTATCAAGTGCGTTTCAAAAATACAACCGCAAACAAACATTTGTCAAAGTTTCGTGAGGCACACAGCTCTCGACTCGGAGGTGCCACTTGGCAGACAGTACAATTGAGAATTGAATAGCTCATGACAACAGGGCCAAATATTGAAGCGGCTCGAAAAAGATATTGGCCATCACCACAAAATAATATATGAGACATTTCAATACATGAAAAGGCATTGAAATGAAAGTTCCAAGCCATGCCTCCAATACCAGTTTTCATTTGATTGGTTTTTTTATTATGTGTTCTGCATTCTCTAACTTTAATACTTCTGTTTTACCCGAGTTAGTGAAAGCCCTTTGCATAGTGACAAATCGCTGTTTTAGATAAAAACGACGATGACCAGACGAAACCCCAAGATGCTAAATATGCCAATAAAATTAACCTTGATGGGCCAATAAATTTGAAGAACGTATTGAGTGCGGGCACTTACGTATGTGCGTCTTACATCATTGAGCAATAAATGCTAACATATGCCCGAATGAATGTGTGTATGTACCATATCGGCTAAGTCCAACATAAAAACATGCTCCATCAGAGAAAATTGGTGAGTTTGGATCCCAGGCATTTGGTACCTGATGGAGAGTTCACCAACACGGAAACAAAACGGTGGATTAAATAGGATCTGAAGTAAAACAAGTTCGTCATTGGACCGCATATTGCCTAGACCCATTTCCACCAGCGCTGGGAACCATCAAGTGTACCTCTAAGAGTGGACTCCAGACGGCTGATGCGTGGCCAAAAATATTTGATGGTCATTAGCGCGCCCGAGTTACGACCGGCATCCACCACTAATCCGGATAATGCATCTGCACGAGCCAACATGGAGCGATTGGAATGGTAGCCGCAACACTAACAGCAGAACCTGAGAGCTTAACAGGCATTTAGACAATCGAGAAGGCCGTTATACACTTACTTGGTCTCGAAGCTCGTGTGTCTCGAGCGTGATTCGAGCAACCTCAGCCTCCGATTCCATCTTAATTCCATCAGCTACCTGGACGGTTTTAAGAAGATCTCTCTCATAGAGCCGCCATTCTGTTGCCTCTCGTTCATGTTCTGCTCTTTCCAGTTCAAATTTATCCTTCCAAACCATGACTTGATGCATTAGCGCATCCACTTGGGCTTCTAACTCCAACTCAATTGGTATATTCTCCTTCATTTGAGCGGAAGCAGCCGAAGGATCAGAAGCGGCCATGGTAGAATTGGCTGCAGCCTCGGCTCGTAACTGGTCAACCTCTCGTGTCAACTCCTCAACCCTATCAGTAAGTTGTCGACACTCCGCGTCGAGAGTTTCGCAGCGTTGCGCGAGGTCGTTATTTTGCGTTAGGAGAATTTGTTTTTCTTCTTCTACTGACGAATATAATTCCACGTAGTGAGCTTCTCTCGAATCAGCTAGGGAGGCCGTAGGACTAGTCAATAAAAGGTGTTTCAGCTGATCAATTTGAAGGCGGCAGTGTTCCAATTTGGCAGTTTGAGTACACAGAGATTCAAGCAGAATGGCTCGCTCAAACGCCAAGTTACGATTGTCTTCCTGGGCTTCATCTAAAGTCCTTTGGAGGTCACATAACTCTTCCATCGTAGCTTGAAGCTCCTCGGTGGTTGTATAGTTCGCTTCTTCCATTTCATGGATACGGATTTCTAGATTTGCAACGGAGGGGGGCATAGGAAGAGAAAGTGATGTCTTGAGGGTAGAGTGAGCAGTTCCATCACACGAGGCAGCCTTTCTATCTCCAAGACTCGACACTCCAGATACCAAGCTTTGTTGATCCACAAAGGCGTAACCCGTCGTGTCGGAAGCAGTAACACTGGGTGTCATACGAGTTGTAGTTCCTACTGAGGAACCAACGGGTGAACGGATACATGACGGACAGGCTTGAGAGGACTCCCCGTTAGAATCACCATCTCTGATTCTTTGTTTCAAACTATCGTCAAAGTTAGGAGCATATCGCTGGGCGTTCGCTTCCGCTTGATCTTTTGCCTCACGTAGGTTACGCACCTCAAATGATAATCGTTCAATCTCCATCTTCCGAGCTTCTGTTAATTGAGTGAGTTCAGATATACGTGACTCGTATTGCTTCTTCTCCTTTTCGACTCGAGAAAGAAGATCCGAATTAACCCATATTCGGTCACCATTAACAGTCCCAGACCCACCGGGTACTGACGAGTTCGATTCCCGAAGTACAGCAGTTGGGAGAGCTACAGTCGAGGCGGGCTTCCTATCAGAGACTTTCCGTGATTTCGTCTCCTTACCAGAACCTCGAGAATCCAGGGAAGATTGAGAGGTTGAGCGTGAGGACTTGATATTGTGACAGCTGGAAGATTTGAACAGGGCAGGATTGGCACGAGGAACCGAACGGGATAGGGGACGGAGAAATTTGTTATCACATTTCCCAACAGATACAGTAGATTTTGGGATACGAGGAGAACGTCGAACAGCTGCGTCGGACATTTGGGGTGCTGGAACCTTGGGAGCAGTGGTCCGTTGAACCGCTTTCCCTCCTGTTGACATAGTGATTGTACACTAAAATTTAGACACTTAATTATAAGTAAGTAAAATTAAATAGCCGATACGAAGAAAAATTAGTGAGCAAAACTAACAGGAAATTCAGTATACTCAGAACATTACAATGCAGAGATGTTTGAATTTCCAGAACAAAATATGAATGATTTGTGAGGGAATGTAAGAATTCTCAAAGTGCCAAAACCAGCATCAAACAAAATTATTCATGTTCGATGTTTTACCTTTACTGCACAACCACACATTATGCATTAATGTCTAAAAATAACCACCACAGGCGCAGTTTGAAAAACGTTTGCTGATGACTAAAAAGGTTAAAACACACATGTAGTGCCTAATTTCTCGAAAAAAAATACGGTGAAAGAGATCGATTGTGGGATAAAGCACGAGAGTGCGTTGGACAATTCCAAATTTGAAGGATGCTTTAGATAAGCAGATTAGCCACCATCGCCCGGAAAAGGAGGCTGTTTTAGGTCTGCCGAAACACCGGAATTGTTAGAAAAGGCCAAATTAATTTTGTATTTGATGTAAAATTTAACACTAAGCGTAAAGAATGTCTGGTCGTGTCTAGTTTATACACTTACTGCATGCTTACGCCAACCACAAATAGAATGAACGCAACAGATGAAAGCATTCTGTCTAATAGAGCTGCCACACCACAAATCAAATTATATATATTTTGCTAAAGCAAGTGTAAAGCAAGCAAATTAGCAAATAATAACAACAGCTTTTATAAAACAATGCAAAATACAAGTTATAACAAGGCAAAATTGTAACGAAAACAAATTAAGTCACGCAACATACCAAGAAATATTACTCCGATTAAAAATCACTTATTTTGAATGTGCTTGATGCCCAATGCAAAAGGTCGGTTACCCACACAATTACAAACCGAATAGAACTCGGCCAAAAACCGCACTCAAAGTTGATGCGGTGCAAACTGATTCTGCAAAACAAGACTTATTCCCTTTATTTTTTTGTGATATAAGCTCTCATTTCTGTTTCTAAGGCAAATAAGCCATTCAGATAAAATTTTCGATATTTTCCAAGGCAAACTAATACGATAAACAAATATTACGACAGTTATTTTTCATTGTAAAGTGAGCTTTATTAATAACTTTTTAATTCATTTCCGTGATGTTAATTTAAATGTTAAGGTCCAAACTTACATAGCTAGACATGCTTTTTTAAAGTATAAAAAGTATTATACGTTTTTTACAGCCGAAATATAGCAATACAGGCGACAACTAATCCTGGTCTGATTTTGTGCACCGTCTTAACCGAAGTTTGCACATCAACATGGTTTCCTCATTTTTGATGTGAGTTAGATTTATAATAGCTTCCCGGAAAAACCAATTTTGGTTTTTAGGTTAAGTTTTTACCTTAGGCTCAATTTTGGCTTTCAATGAAAGATTGTTTTGAAAGTGTAAATGAATATATAGGCCATTAATTATTGGACTCGGATAGATACAAAACCGTTGCAGGAAAAATTGTTTTATCAAGCCAAAATTTTACACTATTTTATTATCTACCTGTAAATAGAATTTAACTCGGGTTTTTTTTTCTATTAAGATTCAATATAGCTTACTGAAAGCGACTTCAGACAGTACTTGGACAAGTGATATACCTGGATGGCTCAAAATTAGTCCAACTCCAGTCAGCGGTCTACTATTGTCATGAATAATTCAGCACATTATTTGACTCACGTCCTTATGCTGAAAAAAGTTAAGAGTGGGTTTAATTTAAATCATTTATGGTAATTATCGTTTCAACCACCATATCTATTTAATAAGCCTTACTAAAATTAACCTAGCCTACCTTTGATCCGTCAATTTACTTTGATCCTATTGTCAATTAAGACTACAACGAATGTCACACTATTCAGTTTCTAAGCCTGTTGTGGATCATTAAGGATTCAATGACTTATTTGGGTACCTTTCCCCACCAATGATTTAACACCAACCAATTTAAAAAATTATTCATGCGAGCATCAATTTTAGAGCTACTCTCCTACTGCTGATTCAATATCATGTGCGTTTATAATTACGCTTTTTTTGTTTTACGATGTCATCTTTCTGTTGCCATCTCTGATCGTGTTACTTTTGCCCGCAACAAGAAGGAAACCATTTAAATAACGGTACCAGATCCCTTGCTGACGCTAGAACCGACCTTCTCGGGCTAACACAAGAATAAGACCAGAGCTCGTGTACAGAGCTTTATTCACGTCAGCCACATGCAGAGAAGTGTCGAAAGTGAAACTATTTCAAGTCAGGGTTGACCGTGACTTGATAAAAGGCGTAACAAAACAAATGCTAGTAAATTAGTGTAAATAGCATCAGAAACCAATCTTGGAGAATTGTGAATCCCTAACAGTTCCTTGGTTCTACGAATATTAATTACAACAGGTATTATAAGCAGCTACCCATCAACCACAAGTTTAACGGTGTACGCATTGTCATTGATCAACTGGTAATTACTGGTTGCTACTCTAACAAGTTTTCTGACAATCGAATTTGTGAGGGTACAAGCATAATTTTACGCCTTTCTAAATAGCTTGCGATTAGATACATTCATTTTGACATTCACAAGCTGTGCAAAGTAGAAGATGTGTGCACTTTTGATACGTTTTTGTTTCGTTTTAGTCCTCTTCATTATTATCTGCGGAGGTTGTGCGGCTACTCTGGGAGGGACTTTGGGAGGCGGTAAAAGGAAATGGTCATCCGAAATCTTCCCTATCTAGCTATCAAAATGGTGTGTCGGGAAAAATGAGCCAGCAAAAGGGTTGTTTTGTACAGCGCGATCTAGTTGGGTAGATTGGGTGGCAGCAAACAAATATTGAACTGAAAAGTCAGGCTAGAAGCTGTGGCGTCTCGAGGTTGGTGGCTGCTGTCGAATAATATGTTGGTGTGCGGTAAACCTGTCAGTTCAAACATTAATTTCATGACTTACGCGACAAAAGAGACCAGACACATGCTCGCTAAACGGATAGGTGTACCAGGTGCTGAATACTAAAATTGCTTTCGCATAATGACAATTTTGTTTTTGTACCTACACTTGCTACTGATTGCTTTTAGTAGCTCAACTACTACTTAAGTTAAATAATTTTCCGGTTACTCATTTGACATAACATATGATGAATTGTGACTTATGGTTGACGAAAATACGATATGAATACTTTAAAGCGCTCCATCGCTTATTCAAGACGAAGCAAAACTCACTTGGCTCGCTCACATAAACAAAAGTTACGCCTGCAACGGGTTGGTGCGAAAGATCTGTTCGGGGTTTTATTGCAGGTATTTTCGATTGTGTTAAATTTCGTCCCATTTTTTAAATTTCAAATGTTACATCAATTAATGTATACCAATTTAGACGAAAACTATATTTGCGCGTAAATATTTTTTTTTTCAATTTGGCTTCCTTATTTCGAAATAGGCTTAATGTGGAAGTGTCGACATATAGATGGTACGTGTGATTTGGAGTCAGCACGAGTTTGTTTGATGAAAATACTCACACTAGATGGATGAATTGACTATTTTTGTAGGAAGACAGGGCTTTCCAAGACAGATCTGCCTGCTGTTGAAAATGTTCATGCACCGTTCTGTGACCAATACAAGAATGTTGCTTGCAAAACGATGTACCAGTAGAGATTCAAAACCGCCACCCATTTTCGGAAGGGTTCTTTGCAACTATCGGGGCAAAACCAGCATAAAACCTGGCCAGACGTGGTCAGTCTCTTTGTCATGAAGTCTAATTTGGTTCCACTGATCGACACAGCACATTTTTTTAGTGATTGCATGTTCAAGAAAGTATGCACCAGTCCATTTCCACACTGCTTTCTTTATTATTAGTTCATAAATAATTTATTCTTACATTTTTGGTGTGGTGAACGTAAACGACCATGACTGGCAATGTAGCGGATAAAATATGTGTATGAGTTTCAGAACATTAATAGACAACTTCGCCCGATTTTGACAATTAAAACAATGGGAGTATTCTTTTCACTTGCTTAGACAACTATGAATCTCACCGGAACGGGCAACAACTAATACCAGGAAGTAATGCCTCTATACTTTGGATAAAGAGACAAATCCGGTTTCATTTTACAAACTAGAGGAATGAGTAAACTGAAGAAAACTGGGCTTCCATCATTACAGCTAATCCCACAACTCACTTATTACACACCAATGCCCTGTTTGCTATCACTCATTTCCTCCTCCTCCTCAGGCGTGGAAGATGGAATTAAACGTGATACTGTTTTGCGATGATGTGTAGACTGTGCCTGATTGCTGATAAAGCTGTTGGAGACGGCGGCGTTATTGTGTCATGTAACGGGTCGCCATGGAAGGTGAAGTTCGTTGTAAAAAGACTAGCTTTGCTGATGGCGATCTACGCTACGCAGACAACTCGCGAATAAACGGACCATAAACGACACAACCGTCTAATAGACGACTCTCCTTAATTGCATGAGATGTCGGGTCCAAACGTGAGTGATTGTGGATGCCTGTGTGTGGCAGACGCTCCAGGGGGAGAATGCGGGGTTTGGGTGAACTACTAAGGGGTCAAAGGGCTAAGTGATCACGTGTGTGGGGGAGTCAGTGTCGTGTAGACGCTCTGAGACGTCAGTAAAGTACACGAGGTGATCGATAAGTCAGAACATGAGTGGGTGGGGGTGGTAGACTTAAATTAACACTATTCACCGCAGCTCTAGCAGGATGACGTAGAGCTTGTTGGAATGACTTCAAAATCGCTTCACTAGATAAATCAATGTAAGGTCCAAATAACGGGCGCTAGCCACGCAGGAGAATCTCAAAATATCAAGTTACCGAATCCCACGTGCTAATACAACTTGCACCATTACCAGTTAACGAGAGTCGATCTAGCTGCAGCTATGCAAAGAGTACAGTGTGGTCACGTTGTTTGCTTAAAACCCCAATAAACTGTTCTGCGGCGATGCGGCACACACCCACTTTTGAACTCAATTGATGACTGAGGTGATGAAAGACATTACTTTTTATGCCTCGCAGAAGAACTTAACTATAAAAGATCGAAGATACACAATCACTCAGCTTATTGTGAAGCCTTAGAATTTGACACTGATAATCAGTGAAGTGTCAATTGGGAATATAATTCCCAGTCTGAGAAGAAGCAAATGTAAGTAGACTAGTTCCCATCCTGGTATTGCTGATCATAATAAAGCAAAATACACGGGTGGGATCACGCGTTTCATCAACGTAGGTCGTGTGCTCATAAATTCAGTCAATCGTATTTGACGAATTGGATAATTGGCGTTTTATCGTCTACTTGATGCCTTCCCAGCACTAAAAAGTGCACATACTCTCTAAATCATAAGCATTAACTGTCAGACAACGCAGTACTTTTCACATATTCCTTCTCTTACATATTATGCGCACACTTACCTGCTTGTGACTCTGATAAATTTGCATTGTCGTAGCGCCATTCTTCGCGCTCTACACAATCCATCCAAAATTGACGGAGCGTGGATTTTGTGGTAAAAGGATGGATACCTGCAATTTTAACCACGTCGAGGGAATGGGAAATCAGGGGTAACAAAACAATACCACACGAATGCACGCATTGGGGCCAACCTGATTTCCTGGTTCTCGGTGGTAGTCCATTTCGGCTGAACTACTTAAGTTTTCTCAGATGTGCTTAAAAGCTTCCGTGTGCGATTCATTTTTCGCAAATACTGCAGTCTGGAGCACTGATCTATTTTTAATTAGCCATTTAAATGTTACTAGTGGTGGTGTTGGTGTAAACATCGAATGGGTGGGTGTGCTAACACGCACTTAGAACTTCATGTTCACAAATTTCGACCAGATTGCTCTTAAAAAAGAATACAAATAATGCTCAAACTCGAAAACAGCAAAACAAGTAATGCATTACTTCAAATGTGTGCCATAAGAAAGTTAATTACATTAGGTAAATACAAAAGACGGAAAAATATGGTTAGGGTATGAAAGGATTAACAATCAGAGAAAGACTTCATTTTGTGGGTTGACGACACGGGAAACCGAATATACATGTGAAGGGATGGCCGAATTCGTGGGCTTCCAGTGGGAGACAAATTCGGTGGCCAAGATTCTAGCCTTCGCCTAAAATTTGAACCGGGTTTCAACTGGCCATCAGTTATTTCAACTGAGGTGGGAGGCCTAGCGGTCTGCTTTGGACACCTGAGTATGATTTAACGAAACTCTCCATCCTACTGGATTCCAGACTAATCCTTAGCTTCCAAACCAGGGTTTTTACAGACGTTTTGATTTATCCCTCATCTTACTCGAAACAATTCAAATTTGAGACCGTTCGGAATTTATTGACTTGGAAGAACAGTATCGGCTCAAAGCCTTATGATTGCTAAAATTGCAATTTACTACAGAGGGTTTTTAAATGGAGAATTTTTTTGCTAGAGAGGAAACACATAAAAAGACAATTTTTTCGGATGAGACAGAAACTTCGACAACGGTTTACGTAAAACTTGGAAATCGACTTGGTAGTTTGCGTTGAATTTGTGGTTTAGTAAGTTCATAGAGCTAGGCTTAAGAGTTGGCATCAGTTATGATAACTTTTTTTCTATACATTCCAAACCAGATATTAATTAAAGAGAATCAATAAACGAGGTAACTCAATCTACAGGACCGCAAAAAGGTCGTTCTGATTCCTTGTTTGGCTTCCGTCTTTCAAGTAGCAAATTAACTTAGTGCGATTCACTAATTGGCACCACCTTCAGAATTCTATCTCCATAGATGTCACATTTAAGAGGCTCGATCACATTTTTCAATCCAAAAATTCCTTTAGCAATGAGGCTGAAGGCCAAAGGCAGCATTTATGGCAAACATTTACTCCTGAAATTAGGCGACTTGGAGTGTACCCAAACAGGATCCAAACCAACCGAAAAATGATGTGCCACGAAACTTGCATTATGGAAGGACCACTTGAGCATAAAACACGGCCCCTGGCAGTTCCTTCAAGAATGTTCAAGTAAATGATGGCAATTTAAAATGTAAGTAATTTTTCGGTATACCTTACGCTCCATTCCATCCACAATCTATGAGTCGATGGTGTAAGTCTAACAGGGAAATATTTGTTACAAAATAGCAGCCTGATGATAGGTTGCAACTGGAATGATCCCAATTACATCATGCAATATTCACGTATAGGAAGGCTGCATTTGGAAAGTTAACAACCTCCTAAGCAAAAATGTTTCCTTAATTTCGTCTTGTAATGCATGCCACTGTTTTACAGAGTATTGCCAATCAGAGCATGAAGGGTAGCTTATATTAGGCTTTCATCGACCGTTGAAAATAATCTTAACAGAGCGAACTCGACTTTCCTTAGATTTCCTCATTCTCCACAGAAAATTAGTTCTAAGGAAAATTTCGTTTTGCTTATCATGATTACTACGGTTAGCAAACCTCAGAATATATGATTTTACTCGACTATGGCGAATCATCATAACAAGCGTAAAGCAGACAAAGGAAATACTTGCATTGGATGTAGTAGAAGTTTTCTGGTGAAGTGGTTCCATTAGAGCCCTCGATGACCACCTGGACCAGGAGTGGATTTAGAAGGGGCAAGGATTGGCCGTCGTATGGCGGGACGCGGCAAACCAAATGAGACTGAAATAAAAATGAATGTGAGGAATAACCGTGGGGCATTTTCAGTCGATTCTGTGCGAAAAGCTGGTCGTTCGATGGGATTAGATGTCGAGTGGCATCGCTAGAATGGAAAATTCGATGGCTATTTCAACCAATAGTACTTTTTCGATCTCCCTAAATTGGCCGGGCCATTGCTGGAAACGTACCTTGTTCACCAAACCTGCCTCCACTTGCGCCTCCCGCTGCCACACAACCTTGGCCTCTTCAAACACTCTCGGGGGTGTGTAAGCGTCATCGTGACTGTTGTCAGTAGCCATGACAACTTGCCTGAATACAACGCGACAATCATTGGAGAAATTGTTGCCTAGGATAAAAAGATCAACCATGCCACGAGAAGGCGCTTCACGAAGGGAGAGTCGGGAGATAGTTGGTGGGCCGTAGATGGGGATTGCTGGACGTGGAAGAAGAAACAAACAGTTAGCGAATCCTGTAAATTTGAGTGCAAGCCAAATGAACTGACTCGAGGTGGGGTAGTTTTCAAATGAAATCGCACCCAAGCAAAATTAACTCACATGGAAGATAAGTAAATATCTCAGGTCGCCCAATTTTTGTCGGGGTTTGAATGTACACATGGACCTGGAGAGGTGTCATAAGGGGACAGGACGGACCGTTGTATTCAGGTACTTTACAAATTAAATGTGTCTAAAATGCAGTAATAAATGCATATGCCATGCCTTAATTATTTATGCCCTTAAACTAAGCAAAGCCATGCATAGAATTATGCCAAGTAGATGTGGTTTACTCAAAAGCACTAAGAACCAGAAACAACTAGGTCCATATTCATTTAAACTACCAAAACGTAGAAAACATGGCTAGAAGGGGGTAACTTCATTGTTGTCAATGGAAAGATTGAAGAAGTTCCTGTCATTACGAAAAAATGTGAAGAAATTTCTGTTGACTTGCAGAGACCACCTGTAGGAAGTAAGTAAAAAAAAGCCGACAGTGGAGAATGAATTTTACTTTGCTGTAGCTACCTACTGATGACACTAAAAACAATGTCATGTCGATTCGCCTTCGGTATGGGTGCTTTCGTTGACAGTTTTCAAACCACAACACCTCCGCCTACCCACGAGACACAAATCGACTAACCTGATAAAAGTAGTTGGCGTCAATGCCGGCTTCTTTCTCCCAGACAACATCGATTTTGTCTTCTCTACTCACGTCACTCGGGCTGCCAACGTTGGCAGCCGACGGCGAAGCCAGCTGTTTGAAGATGACACGAGTCCCTCGAACAAAGTTTTTTCCAATTATGAATAGCTCGGGTTGACTTCTGACGTGGGCCTCCCTGATCGACATTCGGCTGATTTCTGGGCCTCCAACGATTTGGGCTAGAGCAAAGGACTGAAGTTGTGAGACGTCTGATGCGACATAATCTAGTCCAGGAATTAACCGACTGCACTAACCACGAGACAAAGATGCCTTAATTGAATCAGTGCACAACTATCGATGTGAAGTCAAATCATGAAATCCGACATAGTTTTACTTCTCAGCCATGCAAAAACCTTCAGTCAATTGTAAAAAGTTAACATTTCTATATTAGCTTACGATGATGACGAGTACAGTTGAAATTGAATAGACTGAGTTTAGTGAAAAATTAAGGCGACGGGAAACTGTGGAACGTTGAGTTTGTATATTTGCTGCTGACGAACCTAAACTGGTTTCGCCTGTCTAAGTGTCGAGATATTTTTCGAATTTAGTGGAAACCATCTCTTCTGCCAAAATTTACTGTTTTGGGTTGTCCTACGTTAGACTAGGGTTTAACGTGCCCAATCATCTATTACCACATTGGTTTAAAGTGATGCTTTGAGCTGACAGTTTCAAAGAGCCCTCGTCTTGGAGTCTGGGTTGTTGGCTTATGAATGAGTTCGCAGACTTACTGCATCGAATTGGGTCACTAATCACTTGTAAGACACCCTCTACCCTATTGACCGACGAAAGCAGAAGAACCCTGTAGACAAGGCGAGCGGAACTCGACTTGGGTTTTATCGACCGTCGAGCGGCGTCTTCGCACGTCTGAACCGAGGGTGTCTGCAACGTCACCGGCGATTGCCTGGAACGTTGCGGCTGTCCGGTGGTGGGAGCCGTGGAAGTAACTGTGGACAGAGAGCTTGAAGGGGTTCCGGAGGCTCGCAGCAGTTTCTTTTGTTGCTCTTCAGACAGGGAGGCCATTCGTCGCTCAACGTCTGAGTTGCGTAGCTTTACTAGTCCAACTGAATCTATACTGAAAGAAACCAAGGGAGGGAAGATAACTGTCGAATTTTCATCAAAGCATCTCCTGGCTTTAGCCACATCACCTTTGGTTGCTCCACTATGGTTAAAGTCTTGCATTTGGTCTGCATAAAGGTGGTTTATTTGTCTTTGACTGTGATGACTACCCGAGGTCAACATTTGAACTACGGACTCCTAAAACTAGTTCCTTTAATTCTGAAAACACGTTTATCACCTCTCAATATCCGTCTGTGCACATCCTCGATCCAACCCGCGCAAAATTACTACCTATAGCTTACATTGTCATTTTACATAAGTGAGATTGGAAAAGCCTATTGCTCAAAGTAAACTGCCTTTGAAAGCAAGTTGAGCAAAACGCGCAGAAACGACAGTCTCACGCTTATGGGACATTACAGACCAATCACAAAGCGGTTGCATTCCGCATTTCTCGACACTGATCGGCTCAAGTTAGGACAGCCGGCTCAGCCTCCTGTGATGTCGGAAGAGCCCCAAGATTGTCGAATTAGCCCCTGAAAAGACGTTGCTGCATCAAATTTAGTTGGACCTCTAGCGTCTAATTGTTTGGTTTGAATTAATGAAGGTAAAAATAATATCACGTTTTTGACACACTGCACATGGGAGAAATTGCCTTGATAACTAATTGGCAATCCACACAAGGGAATTAAAAAAAACTTTTTACGCAGCAACTGCATTTGCCCTATTGAAGTGCTGTCATTTGCACTGACGCCAATTCAAGGAAATTATGACCTTCTCAAAACTTTACGTGGGTTTTCGATTCACAATTAATAGCGTTACCTTTGCAAGCAAATATTGCCTGGATAAGGATTTACGATTAGTAATTAGTAGGATATCTATTGGTCACGAAAGAACAAGTTCACGTGAAGCGTCTGCTAGTTTGACTCAAGTGGTTGCGTGTGCATGTAGAGGCGAATCTCAGTTAACGAGGACGGTGCTTTGAGTACCTAAATGTGCCCCAGCTACTTCCTGGCAGACGAGAGGACTGACGTCATACCTAATACTGAAATACCACGCTTCCCAACTAGTTTCCATGGCCACCTAAGATACACAAGAAGGTCGGAAATGGCCCACTAAAGTGCCACAAATACTGTCCAGGTTCACACATAATAGATTCACGAATTGCCAACGGGAACCCTTCACCATAGGGCTAGATTAAAAGCTATTGGGTAAGGTGTTAAGCAAAACTCAGGTTCACCAACAAGCCCGCTGGTAGTGTTTATGCCTCAGTTAAATGGCTTTCACCAGTCAGCACTTCACGTGGGCACACTGCACTTTGCCGCACGTAAAGTCAAGGCGAGTTCTTCTAAGTGTGTCAAGGCTGGTTCGGACCTGCACAAGACCTCCTCACCTAAATACACCTTGACAGCCTCAATAAACCGGTGACCGCTTGGGCTGGCGTTCCCCCGAAGGGGTGTGATGAATGAATTCCAGTGCGTCCAACTGCCTACAGCGGAAAAATACCATCTTTGATAGACCCGAGGTTGCTTTAATGAAACCCTGTTGATTACATGACCAAGTAGGATTCGCATGAATGTTAAACAGTCGGTCCACACCGTGGTTACAGCAAGATCTTTCGGATGGTGGGGTAAAAGGGTGTCTTTGCATTTTTCCTGTCTCCAATACAATACTTGTGGGTGTTGAGGTGGTGAAAGGCAGGTAGGTGCCTTCTGCTGTTATGGAAATTGACAGACTTTAATTTCCAATCAAAATATTAAGTAGCACAATTAGATGTGTCAAAAAAACGTAGAAAAACATTCACAATTCGGTTTAACCTGGTTGCAAATTACTAGAAGGTTAACAGGAGCTGTGGCTATTTAAGTTTGTTGGACGCATCATTATAGTGAGCCCAGTAAGCAATTCATAGAGGCGCAACGACAGATCGTGTCCACAGCCTTTAGGCCTCACTGGTTAAAATCCACACCAGAATGGCTCACTTGGTCAGATTTCGAATTGAGACTTCGGGTTAAACTTTCCACCTTGCATCCAAATGCCACATAACGGAACATATTTTAGAATCGCACTCAGAATGTCTGCTGAAAGCACTTTAGAATCACATTCAAGTCATTTTGTTCGAGGTAATGGAGTCATTTTAAGCAGATGACAAATGTTTTCGGTTCACGAATTCTAATTGACAAACACTAATTATCATTAAGATAACGTGCTATAATTTACCTCATTACTCGGTCCTCTGAGTTGGGAGTGAAGGGTGCTTGTACGACGGTAGTGAAGCCGTAGACGAGCTCTGAACAGCCCCGGTTACTCTTCGTCGAAACGAGGCAGACCTGGTAGAACATGTGTAGGTGGGGATCGGAGGCCTCGTTAGCCACGAAGACCTGCACCAGAGCTGGACCTGACCATCCTTCGAGCTTTGGTTAACAGAAAAACACTCAATTTCAGTCCGGTATCTGTACCTCCAGAACTTTAACATCCTTGATCTCTACTAAGTCCAACTTTGTGCTATCGCAAAAGATCTAACTTAGGCTTTCGTAGCAGCTGCGTCGTGAGTTTTACTCATTCGGCACTTACCTCTGTCCGTCTGGCTCCTCAGTTGTCAACGGGAGGTGTAACCTCAACGAAGCAGACTAAAATCTGCGACAATTGAGTTTTTATGTAATCCACTGCTTAACGCGCCATTGCTACACAAACTTCTAATGTGTAAGCGGCAACGCCACCCAGGCTATTGCCAAAGCCTATGACCGCAAACTAACATCCTTTGTACTTGCATGAACTGCCAACACCACGTAAACAAGATAAAACGCGTAATTCTATCACCTGGATGGTTGGATATCCATCAAAGTTGCGGTTTTTTATAGGGCCTCGGCTACCCTCTGTGAGATATCGAGCTCGATGCTGCAATTCTGGTTGTTGAAGAAGTGTGAGCTTCACATTCTTCCAGGTGCTTTCGAAGGGTTCGTTGAAGTACATGAATTCCTCCGGTGTCAGGTATCCGGCTGAGATTGCCAATGACAACATGTTAGTACCATTCTCCTTACTTTCCATTTCATAAGCATCTATACAAAAAGGTTTTGTCAAATATAGGAGTGGCAAAACGTTGAACAAGACATCAATCCATTTAGGTCACAGTTGGTGTTTACAACATTTGAACTGAAAAAGCAAATTCACACAGCTAGGGTACAAGCTACATGCAATGCACCTGTGCTGTCAAATTTATTGATAATTTTGCCGACGGAATCATTCGCTGCACATCAACTGAGAGTTAGATTGAATTCTCGAAAAGACTACCCCAGTTAACCACGTAGATATCGCGGGACATGTGAATGCGCACACCGATTATTATTGCGTGGGGAAAGCACGAGACCCACTCAGGCAATGAATACAAATAAAGATTTCCAAAAATGTGTAGGTGGTAGTTCTGTTCAACTGACAAAAGTGTGCTCCCTTGAAATCTGGTTTTCTTCGGTAATGATGAGATGAGGATCACGCACTTAAATACACAGAACTGCAAAAAATGAAAACTTTCCTGGTTACCAGGTGGACGTTTTCTTAACTAATTTCAAAGAGACTAATGAGGTTCGGTCACAATGACCGCCACACCATGAATGGAGCGAACAATCAAATCCTTGTTTGAGTGAATGAAAATCCAACTCTTAAGAATTGTTGCTTATCTATTTCAATGCAGCCGGACGTAATCTGCACTATCAAAAATTTAATCGAAATAGGGAAGCTGAGGGCGTCTTGACAGCGTGACCACTCGCAACTACTATTTACCCACCCAGGTAAAAAATCATTGTTTATGTTCCTTAGAGAAACCTGCACAAAAAATGCATTAACCCACAAATGCGTTTACGGTCATTTTACCAAAAATTTACATCCAGTTTACTTTCATGCAGGCACTTTTCACGTGACCATTGTAATCGATCTAATCGTAAAACTACTCTAATGTGTGGATAAGCGATGGTTACACCATATGGCCTTCGTTTGTCAAATTACTGTGTCCGTGATCTTACACCTGCTTCAACCACCATGAAGAATCACTGATACGCAACGCCGAAACCCCCCACGGGGATCTTGCAAGTCATGAGTGAACTGGTCACCGTTTTCCTTCCGCAATCAATTTTAGTTTAATGCAACCGTGATGCCTCATCTATTTACTCAAAGAAGGTTATTTTTAAATTCGCCTTTGTGTTGTGTAAGAATTGCCTTACGGCAAAACACGTTAGGCCTATATTAGTTTAACCCGGTTCATATTTTAAGCGAAAACGGAGAGTTAGGACCGATTTTTATAAGCAACAACAAGTTCAACTCCAATCAGTATTTCCCGTGAAGCGGGTCAAATTACAGCCCGTGAGCTTTCACTGTAGTCTTTGATGATGTTAAAATCTGTCAGTAGATCTAGAATAACTGCTCGCAGAGGTGACACGATATTTCAGCATCGTGGAAATTCTGTAACGATTTTACTTGTACCGAAAGGAGATGGCGCACAAAATAGTCTCAGCGGAAATAGCGCTGAATGCGCCTCCCCGCCGCGATCATCCACCAACCCCCGTGGCGAAGGGGAACGGAAGCGGGATAAGCTCTCACGCCGTTCTAAGCACGCTGGCATTCGAATCGGGTCTACTATCTCTCTCTCTCTCTCTCTCTCTCTCTCTCTCTACAAAGCAGGGACATCATCTTTTCACGTTTAACATCTATCATCAAGCTGTCGAGGACTTTACACTACGCTCCATTTTGTTTACCGTATGCTGCGATTACGGTGAACTGGAGTTCACAACATTTCACCATCGGTCTTGTAAACACACACGCACACACCAATACGTTCCATTCTGGCGACACGTAGAGTAACCGTACTGAAAATTTCACATCCACTTTGTTATCAACTTTTTAAAGCACCCCGTGACACCTTGACGCGGATGGCAAGTAATAGGAGGGAAAAAATTGTGAGTAATGATGGAATGAAGATAGAATATGTTACTTACTTGCCCGCGAGGTCGTTTTGCGCGATCGAAGACGACTGCAGGAATCGGGGAATTCATCGTGCCGACGGTCCGCAGAAGGAGATAGACTGAAGTCGAAGGCTTCCGAGCTATCTCTTGCCAACAACGGATCGAAGTTCGGGACACTCAGACTTGACTTGATCATTAAACTGAAAGAAAAAGCCAGTAAATCAAGAAGTTCGCAATTTGTGTAAAGTGGAAAACTCGTTCGGAACGCGAGACAAACAATAAAGACAATAACTTAAAAACAGAATACACGACTCCGAATCATCACAGGAAACAACAATAAAAAAAGACGTAATTCTTCAAAAATGAGCCAATTAAAAACTACCTTGCATTAATTACTGCGCACATGACAACATTTGCAAATTTAACTCAGATTTTCTCTTGAAGTCCACCTTCTTATTTTCAGCACTTCAAAATGCTGGCAGTTGTGACCATTTATCACACACTGACCCGATTAAAGCATTTAGCCAAGTTCAGCAAATCAGCTCCCATTAACATCGGCCGTGACACATAGATCTTTGAAGGAAGCGTCGGACTTTGGAAAACGCAATTTCCGGCTGATAACCTCGAAGGGCAACTACGTTAGTTGTATGCAGAACTCGCAACCTCATTGAAACAGATGACTTTACACGCTGGCTCATCACCCGACGATCAGATGCAAACATCAGTACTGCTAGATTACTTATGGCGTACTAGAAAAAGACCATGTCTGTGTGAGGCCGTCAAGTCCGTTCGCATGTCAAAGTTCAGAAGTGTCCTGCATGGCTACCGCAGGGTGTAAAATTGAGGGGCCGCACAGTTTCCTGGCGAAAAAATGGATTAAAAAATTAGACTTTCTTGAAAACTAAGTGAAATCCCACCGAGCATAGCAATGTCTGCGTATTTCTTTGCATTATAAATCTTGGGCACACACTAGCAGCAGATTTTGAGTCAAGTGTTAAGCAAGCGTTCGTGTGACCAAGATTTCACTCAAGAAAACTTCTAGACAGACCGCGATCGGAGAGAGAAATTAGCATGGTAGCTGATGTCGATACGTTCATGTCCACGAATTCTGAATCAATTTTTGGCCACTTTGTGCAAAGAACGGAACAAACGAAGTGTGAGGGAGAAAGGTCAGGGGAATATGAGAGATGATGCTGGGAGATTTGGTCGTGCCTGTTGATCGACATCTGGTCAAGTGTTGTCGTGGTGAAGGATGATCGAATTCTGGCACTTTGCTTGGACTTCAAATTGAGTTGGGTGAGGAGTTACAGCGACAGGGCTGCGGAAACACGGTTAAGTCAGTTCAGTTCTGTCAGAACTCACACAACCCAAACATCGACTTTCCAAGTGGATTCAAGTTGCTATACATCGACCAACCTTCGGTCTCTCAGCACTCTCTTCAGCGGTAATGTGGGCGTTACTTTTGCAAGATAATTTACGAAAACCAGTATTATCAGTGTCGGAAGGACGTCCAGAGCCAAATGTGATGCTTTCACTGAGATAATCACTTTCAAACAAACCAAGACACTTTCTAATTGTAACAAGAACAGGAGCACAATTCAAGTAAACATCTGGAACACTTTTTGTTGTTGTTCCAATACCCACTCCAAGTAAACTCACATGATAGCATTGCACGAAAAAAAAGCAACCTTTCATTTTCCAGTTTGAACATTAGTTCTGCACACAAATAAATTTTTTAGCATTGCTGTCGATTAAATGTGACTAGGGAGGAAGCGGCAGCACAGTCAAAAGTGCATGCCTCTGCCATCTATGGAAATCGGACACGAACCTTTGCTGACACCCAGTAGAAATGCTAAGTGGCAGGTGGGGGAAGTTTCCCGAATGCAATGCTAACTACTTCAAGCCTCCCTTTAGCGACATTGGCAGTAACTTTGTGCATCAGTTGCAGCATTACGTGAACAGTAGAGATTAAGAACCAGGTTTTGGCGTCCATCTTTTGTTTTGAATAAGAAATATACTTCGATTTGCAGCCGAAAAACGTGTAAAAATATGCGGCAATTATCTTGCCCCGAAAGTTTTACCACCAAGATTACTTACTGAAAACGTCATGACTTACTTCGTGTTGTCAATGGCTTGGTTGGAAGCCATTGTCATCCGTCGCCCCATTGAATTTCGTCCCGCACAAAGATTCGCCTTGCGTAGTGAGGGCGACAGCTGTAGTTTTTGTTGTTCATTCGCTGCTCCTGGTGGAGGCGGCGGCGGTGGTGGTGCAGCTGCTGTCGCCTCGGCCGATTCCGTCGAGACGCTCTGGGAGTGGCGCCAGCGTGGATTGTTTAGGACAGCGAGCTGCTGCTGCTGCTGCTGTCGTGTCGCCTGACCCCAGGCACCTGTCGACGCGCGGGGCGGTGAAGTGGTGGGGGAGGTTAGGCTGCCTTGGGGGGACGCCGCCCCATAAAAATACTACAAATTGCATTTTATTCAATATGATTTGTTCAGGTGGCAATACAAGGGATTACTTCAGTCCACTAAAGAACTCTCTCACAGGGTGGTGCCTAAACTGTTAGGTATCAATCAAACACAAATGTAGCGCTAGCTAAATATTTATAGCAACATTGTGTTTAGCGTCATTCAGAGACCAAAACCCAGTCCAAACCTTTATTTAAGTTTTGATAAGCCATTCATTTAGCTGTCGTCATAGAATATAATAAGTGGTGTTTAGTGATGCGGCGAAAATACTGTGTCCGCCAGGTACATACGTTGAAACGTCGTGCATCCACAACAGCCACCGTTAAACCCGTAAACAAAAAACTCACGTCCTGCTGATTGATCATTGAGTTTTGCATTTGTCCTGAGGCGCTGTTGGTTGTTGCAGCGGCAGCAGCGGCAGCCGCGGCCAGTCTAGGAGATCTCCATGTTTGTGGTTGTCGAAGTTGTTGAGACCTCGTCGTTCCATAGCTTTGCAAGTTTCCATAACTTCGAAGGGCGTACTGCCTCTGCGTAAACTGGTTATCGGGCACACTTGTGACGTTCTTACGGACAGGTTGGAATTGCTGCTGGCTCGAATTGTAAACAGAAGTGCTTATGCGTCGTGACCTAAGGGCCTGAGTCGCCATTGTTGCGTTTCTGCCGTTTACAACCAGACCTGGCGACATCATTTCGGACCGAATCATTGATCGGCGCTGTTCAAGAAAAAGAATAGGGGGATCTAAGTCATCAACGGAGATGTGTACAGACAGAGTAAAAGCACCCTCAAAATTTAAAGATTTCTTACACAAAAATGATTGGAGTTAAAGTTAAAATCGCGAAGCAATTTAACCGATGCGGTGAATATTTCAATCTTATCGTTACGCAAAATGTGGTGTTGAGGCAGAATGAACTAACGAGATCGGCCGGTAAAGTCTGAGATACTTAAATTTGTAGTAGGTACACATATATGTATGCCGGTAGAACAATTGTTTCAAACCATAGAATGATCAGATTTACCTCAGGTTTTCTCTCAAACTGAAATTAAAAACATTCTTTTATTATGCGCACACTTCAAAGAATTAACGGTGTTTTGAAGTGTAGGCGCATAGAAGGAAGTGTGCAATTAACCCGATGTACTTGGCCCAGCCGACCCACGCATTGATGGGGTTCCCGATTTGAGTCAAAACAGTGCTTGATAAATCCTTGGACGCAAGGAAAACTTTCCCTGTCCGTAAAACAGAACTTAACTGTCCAGTAGAGTGCCTCCGTCGGTTCTCTTTTATGCAGCCTAATGGACAGCAAAACACACATGCCAAATTCGATTTTCGTAGAAGCCAGATAGCACAAGCTTCCTTCTATTTCATCTTTAAGGACACTTCAACTGGAGTCGTTGCGTGCAGTTAACCACGGTGACCAACAGTGAAGTGGATTTAGGTACGGTTCAGAATTGCTTGTCTACCGCATGGAGGTAAATCCCCTCCCTAACAACTTTGGCTTAAATTATGTAAGCACCGCTTTAGGGTCCTAAGCTAAATCCGAAAATATCAGGTTAATGTTTAAATGCATTGGGATTAAACCAGTTGAATTAAATTAGACGTTTGGAAAGGCATTAGTGCTACGGTACGACACGTGGCTCGGCTAAAGTGTCTGGTTAACACCTGTGTGGATGCCTTGCAGTAATTGGTCAGGGGATGAGTATGCTTAGTGAAGGGGACGGCTTGATTCTGGCCTCCTCAGAGAGAAAGATTGCATTCTTGGAAAAAAATGAATAATGAAATGTCAACTTTTGGAAAGCAACCTGCTATTGATAAAATTTAAACGGACTAATGGGATGCTCAAATGCGCTCGAAAATGAACAAACCAAGGTCATTGGTAGGGCAAAAGGTTGGCCTTGCAAGTTATTCAACTGCTTTTGCAGGCGCGAAGGTCCACAAAGTAAGCTCTCAGAAAACTATGTAATCCTGTGGCTACCGTCTCCATGAACCCCGATTTGTCTTCGTGTACCATCGGTGAGGACCTGACGACCAAAGCAAAGCATTTCTTAAACTTTCTCCATTTGGTGCGACATGAAACAAGTAAATAAGTTTACTAAGTGAGGCACATCGACACCAGATGGCTGTTGGCTCACAACCAAAAGCGAAGAGTATGAGCACAACTACCTATTGTCAAGACCAGGAAGCTTTCTTACATAGAGATTTAGTTACTAGGGTCGGGTCACCAGCACGCCAACGTCAGGATCCAATTCGTTATTCGCTGTGTTGTGTACAGCAAAGAAAACATTTACGTTCATCGTACTTGTCGATATAGATAAAAACGACATTCCGAAAGAAGACATTCGGTTTGTTATGACGAGAGGAAGATGTGGTTGTTATGTTAGCGTTCCTTAAAATCGGAAGTCCTCAGTTATTTTAAAATAAGTACTAGCAGAAACCAACCCTTTGAGTAGATACAAACTGCTGCTGTTGCTGCAGCTGGGACTGCATTAATCTATTCCTGCGGCGCGACATGGAGGCATCAATTTGGTACCTCTTCTGGTTGGTCGGTTCTGGTTTAGTCTGAGGGGGAGGTGGGGGTTGAGCGAGTCGTGTAAGTAGATGGGGGGATGTGGGGGTCTCGAGGGGGGGCTCCTGGGGTTGGTAGCAGTAGCCAGGAGGGGCTTCCCCGGCACGGAGCAAGTCCGGGGCGCTGGTCTCATCTGGAAAGTACTCCTCGGAGTACGCGCTGCGAGCCTGACTTGTGCGTTTGCGGCAGTTGGAGGCCGATTCCTAAAGGGCAGCAAAATGGCAAAATATAAAGGTTTTTTGGAATGCGGTCCTGGGTTTCCATGCTGTCAACTTGCGAAAGCCAATCTGATGGTGCCCTTAATCATAGACGAATGCACCGAACGAATTCCCAGAGTAGTTTTAGTAAAGCTGAATAGTAATAATTCCAGAAACCTTTGGGAGTTTATGTCGTTCTAATTAAGGTGAAAGGATGTTCTCATAAAATTTATTTTCTTTTTGCCAGTACCAATACAGCCAAACCTTTTTGGGTGTAAATGGCTACGAAGATCCTGGCTTCTGCTTTATTTCGTGCGGATTCCTGGGTGGTCGTGTGTGTTGATTACAAATCACGATGATATGTGTGACCTAGATCAGCAAAAGCAATTTACTGCGCCAGCAATAACCCAATCTTTTATAACACTATCTCTTATTCCCTTGATTCCCTCGTCAAGTCCATCATACTACATGGCATGGCCACAGCTCCCCATGATCTGCTTTTGTATTTAACCCCACCAACCTTCTATGTAAAACAATTTGTGTTTACTAAGGGTTTGAAGAATGGGCGTTCCAACGGGGACTCGAATCAGCCACAAAGACATGCCTCACCATCACGTAATAAAAGCGAACAAAAAGGTCCCAATTAAGCTCCTTGTTTTACAAGATGGGGTGCAAAATAAATGCACAATATTTTAGCCCCGAAGACCTCAAATGAGTTGCAAATAAGTCGATGTAAAGATAAGTAATCCTCTGTCAGCAATCTAAACATGATTTACGGTTAGAATAAGCCAATAAAGATGCTCTCAAAGCCACAACAAAAAAGCTCTAGAAACCATGAAATGGCTTCGGGTGTACTGAATTCAATATTTATTAGTCTAGAGTCTACTTTAAGCCCTTCAATAATTTGATTATTAGAAATTCATCAAGTTGCCATTGCCTCTTCAAGGAAGTTTCCCGCCAATTCTGGGTGACATGCGAACAAAGTTTTGCCAGAAATTAATGTGCCGGCTTCCCTGCAATGTCTGAAAAGATTATCCGGGTAATTTCTTCACCTAAGTTCGATTAAAATGACTAAATTGTGCCATAAGAAAACAATCGTTTAAACAAATTTGCATAACCGTCGCTTCCACGGTGGTGGCAAAGGGTTATGCTGATCCAAGGAAAACAAGAGAGGCATAAGACTAGAGATGTCTAGCTGGTTCAGTGGGTCCTTGAATACCTAACTGGGAACCTAACTCGGTCCTCTGGGTTCATTTGGCTTCAGGCTGCCACATAAAAGTAGGCTCGAACCCACCTCTACAACAAACCATGAAGATGCTGTACCAATCTCACGGAACGATCACATTTAGTGGGGATAATTTCATTCTGCCGAAGGTGCAAGGACTATTGGCAACCAAGTTTATCAGCGATAAGTGGAATGCAGACGGAAAGGTTCATGTGCACCTTAGGGGTGTGGCTGCGTGCACACAAGAAATCAGACATTTGCCATCTCTAGTCCTCATTGCTAAGCGGTGAATGAATATGACCAAACCTTGACTGTCACGCAACGCTACTGATGATGGCTTTTTGACCTTTTGCTTGCCACACTGATCGTTTGTCGCATATTTTAAATCTTGCATTTCTGATGCACTCAGGTCAACTAGTAGATGAAAATGGCTTCGTTTAATAGCCCGTTTGCACGAAACAACAACTCATACGATTTAAACTACCCAAGAAAAATTTCATTTCTATTGCATGTTGGATAACAGAGATTCCACTTGACCGAATTCGACCATTTAAATCGGTGTCAAATGCAGCCAACATTTAAAATCAGTTTAAAGCCCCGGGTGAATAGTCGAAAAACGGTTGGTAATAGCCAATAAAATAACTTAGATTCGTGGAAATATGCTACAAAATGATCGAAATCATAGATTTCGATGTTCCATTAAAAAGAACCCCAAATTGCATAAATCACACTAGTCAAAAATAGTAGGTTTGGCTCCATGGGCCTATCGCGTGGTCGAGTCATACAGGTGAGTCTTCTCTCCCGATTTTTGACATCTTCACACCAAATTTTATAGAAAATTTATCTCTACAGAGCAACTCAAAACGTAAGTAAGCCATCTTATATGACGATTAGGGCTAGTTGGGTGTTTCTGGTAACAAGTTTGTAAGCATTATGGGATTTTTTTACATGAATTCAATTGAACCATTTCCGCTTCCAGTGCAGGTGCTAATACTCCAGGTGTTTTATCTACCAATGAAATTTTAGGTTGCGTTTCAGGTCGCTAAGTTACCCACAGGTCCCACTGGTAGGGTCAGATGTGTTGAGGGCCCCGGCATGTTGTCTTGAATCACGCCGGGGCCACTGCGATTATCTAGGCCGAATACGTTACCCTGCGTTCCCGCGAAAATATAGAAGACCGGAGTGGGGAAGGCACAACCGTTT